TTTTTTTTTGTGAGGAAGACCAGCCCTGAGCTAACATCTGATGCCAATCCTCCTCTTTTTTGCTGAGGAAGACTGGCCCTGGGCTACCATGCATGCCCATCTTCCTCTACTTTATATGGGACGCCGCCACAGCATAGCCTGCCAAGCAGTGTGTTGGTGTGTGCCCAGGATCCGAACCGGCAAACCCCGGGCCACTACAGTGGAGTACACGCACTTAACCGCTTGCGCCACCGGGCCGGTGCCAGCCATTATTTTTCAAAATATTTCTTCTGCTCCTTTCTCTTTTCTTCCTCTGGTATTCCTATGACGTGTACATTACACTTTTTGCAGTTGTCCATAGTTCTTGGATATTCCGTTCCCTTCTGTTTTTTTTTTCCCCATTCTTTTTTCTCTTTGCATTTCAGTTTGGGAAATTTTTATTGACATCTTTAGCTAGCTGATTCTTTCCTTGGCATTTTTAAGGCTACCGATGAGCCCATCAAAGGCATTCTTCATTTCTTTTATAGTGTTTTTGATTTCTAACATTTCCTTTTGATTCTTTCCTAGAGTTTCCATCTCTCTGCTTACATTATCCATCTGTTCTTGCATGTTGTCTGCTTTTTCTGTTAGTACTTTTAATTTTAATCATAGTTATTTTAGATTCCTTATCTGATAATTCCAAAATCTGTGTCATACCTGAATCTAGTTCTCATGCTTGCTTTGTCTTTTCACACTTTTCAGCATGCCTGGTAATTTTTTGCTGAAAGCCAAATGTTATGTATCAGGTAATAGGAACTGAGGTAAATAGGCTTTTTGTGTGAGATTCTGTGTTAATTTGGCTAGGAGCTGGGCTGTGTTTAATGTTAATGCTGTAGCTGTAGGCACCAGAGACTTCACTTTCCTCTAGTGTCTTTTTTCCCCCTTCCCTGTTTTCTTTGAGCTTCCCAATGAACTCCTTCTTAAATAGAGTCTGTGTCTTGCAGCTGTCTCAGTTGTAATCTGCTGTTATTATGCTGGAGCCCTGTTGATGTGATTGGGAGGGGAAGCGGTTTATAATCTTATGATTAAATCTCATTCTTTGAGTGGCCTGAGCCCCTAGGCTGTGACCTTCAGAAGTGTCCTGGGTGGGACAGGAAGGTTAGAGGGGGCTGGAGATGGCTAATCATCCTTCTCTCAGGCCAGATAAGGCTCTGTCATGGAGAATACACTGGGTATATTTTTAAATCGTATTTTTCCTGTCTGAGTTTTTCTTGAATGTTCACTGTGAGAACCTGGTGGGGTTCCTGGAGATAAAACCATTAAAGTGTGGTGGCCCCCAAGAGTTTTTACTCTCAAGCTAGTCTACACTCATCCTTTAGCAACTCATAGTAAGAGTTACTGCTTAAGTGCTTGTACCAGTTATGGCTCCAGCAGCTTCTTTTTACGGTAATATGATTTTGACTGTGATTCTCTCAATATTCCTGTCTCTCTAGTTTTCAGGGTGGTGGTTTGGCCTGCCATCTCAATTCTCTGATGGATCTAAGAAAAGTTGTTGATTTTTCTTTGTTCAGCTCAGCTTTTTTTCTTGTTTTGAGGATAGGAGTGATGACTTCCAAGGTCTTTACACATCAGAGGGGAAACCAGAAATCAACAGTGACTTTTAAAATGGTAGTTTAGGGGGCCGGCCCAGTGGCGTAGTGGTTAAGTTCGCACGCTCTGCTTCAGCAGCCCGGGGTTCGCAGGTTTGGATCCTGAGCGTGGAACTACGTACTGCTCATCAAGCCATGCTGTGGCGGTGTCCCATATACAAAATAGAGGAAGATGGGCACAGATGTTAGCTCAGGGCTAATCTTCCTCAGCAAAACGAGGAAGATTGGCAACAGATTTTGGCAACAGATTTTAGCTCAGGGCCAATCTCCCTCACCAAAAAAAAAAAAAAAAGGAATTACATTAAAAAAATAAATAAAAGAGAAAATGAAAAGGTAGTTTATTTTTCTTCCACACAAATGTAGCCAAACCAGGGCAGGTATGGCAGTTCTGTGATCATGTGGGACTCAGGACCCTTCTATCTTGTCACTTTGCTGTCCTCAGCTTGTAGCCTCCACCTTGTGTTTGGAAATGGCTTCTCCATCTCTAGCCATCGCATGGTATTCCAGCCATTCTGCAGGAAGGAGGAAGAGTAGGGGGAGAGAAGGGCACAGTCCTTTTCTTTAGGATACCCTTATTATTTAAAGATACTTCCTGGAAGTTGCTCTTGCCACTTCTGATACATCCAAACTACTAGAAACCCTGTGTTCACATGGCTACACCCAGCTGCAGTGGAGGTTGGGAAATGTAGCTTTAACTCAGATGTGTCATTGAAGAATGGAAATTGGCAGCAATAGCAGTCTGTACCACGACAGTATTCCAAGGCTTTCCTCAGATTCTGAAAGGTGTCTGTGACACAAAGTAGCTTAAGAAACTGCTTTATCAAATTGCTGTAGGAGTCAAGGTCACAGCATATCAGCACCCTGCTGGCACGGGGACCAAGATATCCAGAATATTTAGCCTGAGCAGAATCCCATTCAGTTCACTGACCTTTCCTGCAGGCCTCCCAAAGGTAAGACATTGGGCTGATAATAAGCTAGTCTCTACCTACCTTCAAGGCATGACTTCTGTCCCCTGGCAGCTCACCCCGTCAGCAGCTTGTTCCTGAAGCAAGCCATGGTGAACAATAGTGAAGACAAAGTTATGTTGTGTAAGTCAAGTGGGTTCTACCCAGAGAACATTAATATAACGTGGAAAAGGTGGACCCAGAAGGACCCCCAATACCGGGAGGTTTCTGACGGCATTATCACTGGTCCCACTGTCAAGAATGAGGATGGTACCTATAATGTCACCAGCTCCTTGATGCTGAAGCCCTCTCTGGAAGACAATGTGGCCATCTACCAGTGTGAAATTTGGCACATATCTATGACCACCTCCCAGAAGCTCAACTTCACCCTGACTCTGACAGGTAAGCATCCACCTGGACATTTTGCCTACTGTTCACCTTGAGGGGGTATAACATAAAACTTTGGTTCCCAGACAGTCTAGCTGAAGATGAGGGCCAATGGGAAAGGAGAGAGAGCTTGGTCTGGCTTAGCTCAGCCCCAAAGTCAGCAGTCCAGACTAGGTCCCTAAGCCAGGGTAGATGGACTAATAGTGGAGAGTGCTGACAATAGTCCTCATGTGGAAACAGGGCTACTTGTTTGCTCATGGCCGTTTAAGTGATCTGAGTAGTCTATATGCCTTGAAGTGGGAAGCTTGCCAGCTGCTGGGAGAAAGAGGACAGTATCCTGTCCATGTCCCCTGAGGATAAGGGTCTGTCAGGGGCCAGGAACCCAGCCCTGCCAGCAACTCTTCTGGTCAGGCTCCAGGTGCACTGCAAACTGTTGGCTGGTAGAGGCTGAATCAATAGTTCTGTCTTACAGGTTGTGCCCAAGATGAGGAGGCCATAGTAGGGTGGTCCTGCAGTTGCCCAGGACTTTCCCCAGGCACACTGGATCCTTAGCTTAGGATGACACAACTCACTCCAGAACCCCACCTGCTGATGGGGTGGGGTTCATTGAGCTCATATCCTGGCTTCTGTGCTCATGGCTCTGGTCCTGAGTGGTTAGATGCATCTGCCTGGAGCTGAGAGGGGTGAGTAAGGCAGGAGCTGACCAGGGGCCCTGGGAGATGTGGTATTTCTGGCAAGTGCTAGCTGGGGACTGGGATAGTCCTGGAGGGAAAGAGGAATTGTTCTTGGAAGTGAGGGCCGGGGTGTGTGTGGGTGGTGTGTGCAGGGTATGTGCAGGGCATGTGGAATGTGAAATTGAGGTATGCTTTATGTGTATGGTATAAGGGGTTTTCCTGGGTGATATGTATGTCTTAGTCCATTTGGGATGGTATAACAAATTGCCACAGACTGGGTAGTTTATAAACAACAGAACTTTATTTCTCACAGTTGTGGAGGCTGGAAGTCCGAGATCAGTGTGCCAGCAGGATTGGGTGAGGGCCCTCTTCCAAGTTCAGACTTCTCATTGTATCCTCACATGGTGGAAGGGGTGAGGGAGCCTGCTAGGGCCACTTTTATAAGGGAACTAATCCCATTCTTGTGGGCTCCACCCTCACGACTTAATCACCACCCAAAAGCCCACCTCCTAATACCATCACTTTGGACATTAGGATGTCAACATATGAATTTTGGGGGGACACAGACATTTAATCTATAGCAACATATAAACAGTATAAGACAGTGTAGTAGTGTGGAAGCTCTGAACGTTGCGTTCACGTGTAGGTGGTGTTTGATATTGCGATGTATTTCTGGCAAGTGCTAAACACACTGTTCGATGTGTGGAGGTGTGTGTGATAGGAATGGAGGATGTCACCACGTGTGGCAGAGGGTTGGTGGTTATCTCTCTGACAGGAAAAGTGACACACAACCGCACAGATCCTAGCAGCAGTTGTGTGGTCTCTCTGGGCTTCCTCTTAATGTTCTCCTCCTCTTTTTCTCTGCAGAATCCGAGAAGATAACCCACTTGGAGATCATTGTTTCCTCTATTGTAGCAATCTTAACTGGATTGATTTTCTTATCTTGGTGGCTTTGGAGAAGGTAAGGGCTCCAAGACAGAGTTTAGCTCTGTGCTGTGGTGTTGGCTCTGGGAGTTCAGGGGTCATGGCCAGTGGATGGGGTTGGGGAGTTCTCAGGGTTGATGCTGTGGGATTCCAAGTGTAGTGTGTGGTTTTTGCTGGTGCTGCATTGGGAAGGACTTTCTCATCTGATCTCTGTGTGGTAGCTTGTGACTCTGGGGAGACGCACTGCAGAGCTCCTCTGCCTCTTCATAATAATCATCTCACTGTGAATTGAACCTGACCTGATTGGTTCAGATGAGGCCTTTGAACTCTGTGTGGGCAGCATTGTTGTTCTCACACAGAGAAGCCATGGCTCAGAGAGGGGAATTCTTTCCTCCAGGTGCTCAGATTTTGTTCATAGCTCAATGGAATAACTTACCACCAGATTTCACTGGCTTCATCAAGAATTTCTAACCCTCACCCTCAACCCTCATGTTCCCAAACTAAAATATGTTTCCAAATATCCTTATCCCTGACTCTGGCCCAAAGAGCCATTAAAAACACTCAAGCTGTAGAGGCTGGAGACCAGTGTAAATGTGTTGGTTAAAATGGTTCTAGACAATAAAATTGCCCTCAGCTATTTATAGGCCTGCCATGGCAGAATATGTGCAGTAGCTAAGACCTCTCATTATAAAAGCTTTAGGAAAAGCAGAATAATCAATTAATCAAGAAAAGAGGCTGTTTGTTTGTCTAAAGTTGGCCAACTGATTCATGGGACTTATTCTCCTGATTGGACCTAGGCCAATGAGAAAACTGGATATAAAGTGGTTTTCAAGTGTTTCTGGTGATATTTGTGAATGTTCTCTTTTTTCTTGCCTTCCTCTGGCTTCTGATATCCAGGTGCTGTTGTGGTAGCCAGACATTTGGCAACGATATTTGTTGAAAAAGACACTAAAGCCTTCATGGTCAGCCTGGGTTCTGTGGTTTGTAATGATGGCTCCAATCCTTCAGGCTTCTCTGTGTCTGTGTCCTTTGCCATGTAACTTTGCGGTGTTCTCCAACTTGGGGCTGCCCCTTGGGCTCAACCTTGTGATTCGCTTTGACCAATAGAATGAGACTGGAGTAAAAGCGTGCCAGTTCCAAGTCTAGGCCTCAAGAAGCACTGTGCGTTTCCATGTGCTCTCTTTTGCACTTCTGACGTTACTGAGAGGACATGTCCAGGCTACCCTGCTGGAGGATGAGAGACACTGGACGCTACAGCTAATTGCTCTGGTGGACGCCAGTCTGGGTCAGATGACAGCCACCCAATTCCCAGACACGCGAGCAAATCTAGCTGAGATTATCAGTGCTGACAAAGCCAACTCTCAAATGTGTGAGAAATACTTATTTTTTTAAAGCCACTGCATCTTAGGCTTGTTTACACAGCAAGAGCTAACTAATACAGCTCCTCAGGAAGCTGAGTTTTGACCAAAAGGTATGGTTGCCATGGAGATGTGCTGCTGAGACCTCCTTCTAGAGCCTGCTATGAAGAGTGTATTCAGTCAGCGTGCTCCAGCTGTGGCACCTCAGGGATCTGCCGCAGTATTTAAGCTTATGCCATGTTCCCCTGGGCAGCTCCAGCCAGTGGCTGAGCAAGGCAGGAGTCTTTGGCGCTCTCTGTTGGGATGGCTGAGACTGTCTCAGAGTTGCACTGTAGTCTGAGGCTCTTGCTACCCAATCCTCCCTCCTCCTCCCTTCACAGATATCAGATCTGCATCGTGCTCTGAAGGTTTTTCCCGCCTATTCCTGTACCCTCTCCCCTTTATCTTTCACACGCACTACCTCCAATAACTCTCTTGTACTGCCAACTCCATCTGGAAAGCTGCTTCTCAGAAGACCCACACTGAACAAGGAGGGACTGAAGAACTATATCGGGGTGCTTTCACTATGGTGCATTCGTGGCTTATTCAGATGAAGGAACCACTAAAAGGACATTGGCAGTTCTTACACAGAGCCAGACAGCAGAGACCACAAGGTTCCTCAGAGAATGCATAAGTAACTGAAATTTCTTTTCCTGATGACCCAGACAGCTTGCTTAAGAGCTGACTGTTCAAGCTGCCCTCCTTGATAGCCTCCCACCAGTCAGCTTATCCAAGAAAATGAAAGCAATACTTTCCAAAGAAGACATACAGATGAACAGGAACATGAAAAGTTGCTCAACATCACTAATCCTCAGGGAAATGCAAATCAAAACTTACTGTTTCCACATACTACAAAGCAATAGTAATCAAAACAGCATGGTACTGGTACAAAAACAGACACACAGATCAATGGAACAGAATTGAAAGCCCAGAAAT